GGCCCCTTTACCTTCAAGCAGCTTTGCTGCTTGAAAACAAATTTTCATTTGTTTTTTCCTTGCTTTTACTTTAATTTGGGTATTTTCCCTTCCATCTCAGAAAATAGCAGCTCTCCGATCAGCTAGATACTGTCCAGTTCCTTTTCACGTGCATTAGAAGTTCCTTGGGATTCAATTCCAATACTGTAAGAAATTGATCAGGATTAATTTTTATTTCCTGGGGTTAAGTGACTGGCCTTCCATAAAAGAATGGGGTAACATTTAATGTCTTTGACCAGAGACCCGCATTAAAGTTTAACATTTCTATCGTTTCATTGTATGGAGATGTATTTGAGGGCAAGATTGGAAGGTTTCCTTAAAACTATTGCTCTAAACTACATAACAGAGATTGTTAGATGAATGTGCAAGCTTTATGTAAGAAAACAATACCTAGAGTAAGCATTAAAATGCAATGCATTCTAACAGCTCAGGAAAGGAGGGATTTTCCCAATTACAAACTAGCCTGAAAGGGGAACAGATAAATTCTTCAAATGTTGACAGGATAATTGTACAATAGGGCATGTTTGAGATGTTGAGTGATGCAATTATGATGAAGATAATAGCTTGAATATCAGTAAATTAATTTTCCTGACAGAAAAAAAAAATGTAACAGTGGTACCGTAGTAGGATGTAGAAAACTCTTTTTCCAAGAAGACTTAAAATAAACCGGGCAGAAACTGTCAGTATCCTGTCAAGGACAAGCCTGTGTTCCAAGCAAAGTAACAAGCACAAGTGAACACCTCCTGTCTCTCAAATCACCTGGCCTCACAATTCACCATCTGCATTAGAAAGACTCTCAGTGGTTTGGTAGGGATTGAATCAAGCTTCAAAATTCAGTGATCTCAAAATTTTGGCTTATCTCCTCACATCTAGAAGTAGATTCAAACTGAGTGTGTACTCACACACAAGCAAGCTTTTGTGCCCACCCGCCAAACAAGGAAGATGAGTTTCAGCTGCCATCTAGCAGCTTTACATCCCTGCCACCAAGATAATAATTTTTGCTACCAGGCAGGATGTATTGAATTATAAAAATGTCTGGGCTGGGCAGAGCCAGCTTATATTTGTCTGCATCCAGTTTTTTTTGATGTGCCCTGTGTGCTGCTGCCTGAGCAGTTCTGGAAACAGATCAATAGCTTTGTAAAAGCAACACAACCAGACTGAGACAGAATGATTACAGTTCAATTCTGGCTCTCTGGTTTAAACTCAGTCAACATCAGTACTTATTGGAGGATTCAGTAAACTTTCCATTTGGGCTACCCAAGGGGTTATGTGAAGTGAGCTTCATCTTGGAGCAATTCTAAACAGAGTTCATATCACAAACAATGTCCCAGGGCCAGAAAAAGTAGGCCAAACAGAGTAGGCAGCAAAACAGCTCTCATATCTGCTATCAGGCTGCCTGAGACCTGTTTGAATGGCAGCACTGAAAACATTCACGAAACCAGCAGCACTTTATCTACTGCATGGACAGTTCAAGGCCATGTTAGTATCTTTGTCAAATATAACATTTATGTCAGCCAGCATCTTTCAAGAGCAGTAAATCAACACTGAAACTGAATATAAGTGCCTTGTTTTGCTAAAGTTTAGAGTTCAAAGAGAAATCTCCTACTTATTTTTACTTACTTATTACTCCTACTCACTAAGTTTTCATTAAATCTTCTCAATGGTTGAATCTTGCAGCAGTCATGTGCCAGCTCTATGTATTTTGGGGCTCAGCAACAACTTGGCTTCCATTCCACAAATAAGCAGTGAATCAAGCTCTGTATTTTTAATTTACCACTAGTGACTGGGTATAATTTTTTAGCTGACTGTTGCTTTGACTCTGTACTATGTGAGGACTGTGGGCTCTACCCTTATATTAATTACGAAAATAGCTGTGGTGATTCCAGTTGCTTCTCCCCTAGCTGCCACATGCTATCTGGGAAAAATGAGAAAGGCCAGCCCTCAGGAGCTTGCAGTACAAGCCCACCCTTCTTTGGTGCAAGAGACGGTGGTGCTGACATACAGCCCCACAGCTGTCTCTTCTATGGCAAGACAGAAAGGCAAGATTTGCCAGCAGTCACCTGACAGCCAAAAATATGCCTCCAGGCACACACAGCCAAGGCTCTCTGAACCTCCCAGTATGATCTGCACAGGCAACCCTTGTCTGTGGCTGCTCCCCCATGCTGTTCTTTCAAACTAATGAAGACTTGTCTATGTCCTTCAAAACTGGAGACCAAGCTGTTTCCAAGCTTACTCAGGAGACCAAAGGATGAAGAAGGACTAAAATTGTCAGAAATTTTCCAAGTGCTAAAAGCACATCCTGTTCCTTTTGTGGTACCAAACTTGCAGCTGAGTAGTACAGATAGAGTGTCAATAAAATAATCTGTGAAAGCCACTGGTCCAGGATCTAAAAATTGCCAAAAAGTTGTGTTGATTGCACTGCTCTTTTGTACATACTATTTAGGAACAAACGACATATCTGCTTACCTGAAATTCTTGCAGCATTTGCAATTGGATACATTTTGCTGCAGGCCTTAGCTATGGAGCACTGTTTTTCCTGGCACACAGCGCACTCATTATGTGTTTGATAGGGCGTATTTAGCATTTAAAGACCTGCTTACTACAGCTAGTGGAAGAGAACATGTTTAACTCATTAGGAAATGAATAGAGTGCATCAGAGCATATCCAAGCATAGCTGTAGTCATCTCACAAAGGTTTTTAAGATATAATAGTCCTCACAGCAATACTATTGATACTTCATCTTTATGGGATTAGAGCGCATTTCTTAATTATCTCCCTGGGCTTTCATTTTGCTGTACACCTCCTCTGTCCCTTCTAACTTACTGACATGATTACCAGCAATTTATCATCTTTTCTTATTTCTACAAGTCTCAATACACCATTAGTGTAAGTTCAGAGTATTGTCTTTCCTTGCATGGGGTAAGATAATAAAAAGTATGGAAACTTTTCTACTTTTGAGTACTAGCTAGCAGGCTACATTTCCTAAAAAGTAGATATTGGGAGCAACAATCGACAAGAGTGGATTTGAGCTCCCTTTTCTAATCCCCATTTCTGTCCACTCTGAAGACTGGGGTTGCTTTAGAGTTATGGCACCATCTGTGCATTTCATGTAACTCATCTCCTATATATGTTAGACCCAATTCCTCTGCACCAGAGTAATTTGCTCTAGAGCTGTTACCCCCAAATATTGGCACAGTAGCTGATGACGAAGTAAGCAACTACCAGACTGAATTATAGTGGTTCTTTATAATGAGGTTACAATATTTGTTTTGTAGTGAATTGTAATGTGCTGCTTTGGGTAGGTATCTCTCCCTTGCTTTATACCATTCTTTCTCTTTTCTGGCATGTTCAAAATTTGCAAATGTTCAAAGACTTTTTGACTGGTTATGATTGTTTGAATTCTAAAATTGTTTGACTGTTTTATACTTACCTGCAGATGGGAAAGACTTGTTTTTCTTTGAACTGCAAATGCAAATTGATGTTCCAGAAGATATTTCATGGAGTAAGGCAATTAATGCCTGTATTTTCTGGCAGTATCGAGAAAGAGATTACAGGATTTCTTGTTCATCCATGATTCTCTCCATCCACAGCATGGAAGGGTCTATTGTGCGCCTGCCAGAGATAGTCTCCTTGAAGAAGAAATACAAAGCCTACCTCTACTTGGATGAAGCTCACAGCATCGGTGCAGTGGGCGCAACAGGCCGAGGAGTTGTGGAATACTTCAGTATGAGTCCTGACGATGTTGATGTATTAATGGGAACATTCACAAAGAGCTTTGGCGCGGTTGGAGGTTACATAGCTGGCAAAAAGGTAAAAGGAAAACACAAACATTTTAACATCAAGGGGATAGAAGCACGTTCTTGTTATGTATGACAGATTTCATTATCTTTTCAGATAGACTGCTTTGCAGGAGCACTATTCTAAAGTTAATACCGTTTTTGTCTGGATCAAACACATCAAATAGACCTCATTTTTGTCTCGTGTTCATATTATGTAATATTATGTAATTTGCTGGGGTTGAATATTTCTGTGCCACCCTGATGATTGTTGTTTTTCTTTGAAATGTTTAGATGCATTGTAGTTGACTAAATATACTTTGCTACATTAATTTGCATTCAGACTGCTCGTTACTTTGTTTCACATTTGTTAACAGTGTGTGGAGCAATACTGAGAGATTAAAGCCACATCTTCGCCCACTGATAATAGAATTCCTAAACAGTTTGGAACAGGATTGTCATAGTTGCATTTTTTATGAGGATGGAGAGAGTTACTGTGGGCCTTTTTTTTGCAGTAATATAACCTGTGTCCCCAGTTGATCTGCATACATTAACAAAATAACCTCTTGCCAATAACAGCTGTCAATAAAAAGTAGAGCTGAGCTTGTTTTAACTGGGAGTGTAGAAGAAAACATAATTAGCCCCATTGTGAAATATCATTGGTTTTGTTACTTGACAGAGATATGAAGTGGTTGCTCATTATTTACCCTTTTCATACCCTGCTGAATGTATTTCTTAAGTAGTCTGCTGAATGAGTAGGAAGCCTGTTTAGACTGCCTATATGGTTGCTGTCAGGATAACATAAGTAAGGGTAGCACTTGAGTAGAATAAAAGGGCTATAAGAAGGTATAAAGTGTATATTTCTTACTGTCTTTTTTGGTTTCACATCTGGAGATCTTAAAACAAGCTATCATAATACATCAAGAAACAACTTACTTTGTTTGTTTTGTTTCCTGAATTTGTATCTGAAGGTTTAACTCTTACTAAAGACAGTGTGTGGCTAATGTAGCTAGAAATTACAGGAAGCGTAGACCTAGGAAGAGCAATCTAAAGTAATTCATCATCCAGTCTTGGGAAGCTTTCTTAAATGAAAGTGGCTTGCTCTTTTCACAAATGTGTGTGGCACTAAGCTTTGCCTCAGGCTTCCAAGCCCTGGTGGCAGCTGCTCACCCAACACACTTAGCAAACTTGCATTAATTTCTGCAGCCAAAACTTCACTGTAGCTCTGTTTATTCTGTGTCAGCTAGAGAACAGAAGCCTTCTCAGCTGTTTGATCAAACCTGTAGGATTACCATTGCAATATAGCAAAGCATAACCTGTATAAGGTTAGATAAATATTTATCCTTAACACTGGAGTTACCACATACACTCATGCAGCTTCTTTGACAATAATTTGTGTTACTATTTTTTGTGTATTTTTTCTGGTAATTTTTCTTATGAAAGGCAGGTTTCAAGCAGGCTTCATCCCTTTCTCACTAACATGCATTCAGCTTTTAAAGTGGTAATTGCTACTCTGATATTTGGTACTGAAAGGTGTAAGCTGTCTTAATCAAGCACTGAATTCTTATGGTGTTACTGCATTCAGGGGAGTTACTGGTGCTTTAGACATGTCTACAGCACAGCAATGCTGTTTCTAGGAGCACAGATTGTCCTTAGTTATACAAGTTGCTTTAACTAAAGCAACAACTCATAACATGACTGTCCATGCCACACTGATGGGAAGTTTCAGTTGAAAGAAAATTATATGTTAATAGCCAAAGATAGATCCCAGTAAGTTTGCTTTTCCTGGTTTACATCTTGTGGCAGAGAAACTGTACTAATGTCATGTGGGATTTTCTTCATTCCCAGAGAGGAAATGAGCAGTATTTTAAGTGCAGCTATTCATTGGTATTTAAATTATTTTGGCTCCTTTATAGGAAGTTTTAGCACAGAAGCGAACATTGTTCTATTCTAGACCTTTGTTTCAGCTGTAGTTGCCCTGCTTATACAGAAAAATATTTGCACCTGTCTGATGTTTCTTCAGGCCACACATTAACAGTAGCAGCCAAGAAAGCAAACCAATAACTGGTTAAACGTCCTACAACTTTTATATGTTCTCACTCTTGCAGTAGTTGAGAGAGATATTTGTTGTTTGGCTAGCTCAAAGCTCATTCATGCTTTGTTTTGCTTGTATAAGGAGCTTGTGGACTTTTTAAGAACTCATTCTCACAGTGCTGTGTACGCCACATCTATGTCTCCACCTGTAGCAGAGCAAATCATCAGAGTAATTAAATGTCTCATGGGACTAGATGGGACAACACAAGGTAAGTCACCTTCTGTAACTTCATTTATTTCAATTACCACCAGACCATCTGCTGCATATGGCAGCAACAGTATGCTAATGCAATGCAAAGGAAATAATTCTTCCTGTAAAATTAATATCCAAATCATCATACTTTTAAGTACTGTCAACTCTGTTCCTTTTTCCACACTCATTTACATGCAGCAGGGATGGAAATATTATGGAATTCAGGCTCTGTGGTTGACATCCCACTCTGCTTTGCAGCAACAAATAGAAGTACACAACTTGCCCTTTGAGTAGATTGTCTGACTTTGTAGGAGGGGTTCATAAGGATAAACCTTCATTAATGGGCTGTCCATTTAGCTTCTTTGTAAGTGCAAAGCTTCAGAATGGCAATCAAAATATTAACTACTTGGGATCTTCATGAAAAAATGAGTTTTATTTATATTCCTTTCCTGAAGTTGCAGATGCAGCTACTGTCCAGTCCTCTGTGTAACATGCTTTCTTTGCAGCAAGCATCAAAATAGCTGTGACATACCTATTTGCTAATGTTTCAAAGTGATACTGAGATGTACTCAATATTCCAGGGATTAAATCCTAACTCGGAGTGATGGTTCTTTAATTTGTA